GTTGATGGCTCAACAAAATGTGAGAGGATTCCAAGTGTGGCGTTGACACGACGTTAATGAGTGTTCGTTTGTCTCCCAACCCATGGGGGCATTTGTTAGTCAGTTACCACTTCAGTGCCTACATGTATCGCGTTATGTAAAGGTCATAGGAACCTATGTATTCTTAGGATAATTACACTTCACTTCCATATGATCGCCCATACGTGTTGAGACGCTTTAGCAAGTGGCTCTCCAAATGGAACCATTATAAGCACAGTCAATGCAGATGGAACCTCCCTATTACGTCAATGGACTGGCATGCTCTCCTCAAAGAATCGGCATTACTCAACAAAGTAACACTTAAAGGGGCCACAATGACTACGGTGTTTATACATGCCACATCGTCCTGCTAGAAAGAACGCAAGACTTATGATTAGTGGCGACGCAGGCATGTTACTCTGGTACTTCAGGTGAGTACTTGGAACAGATAAACACTGTTGTCTCACCCACGGGCGTTCCTACAATGTGTTTGCAATCATTTACAAAGGCAACCGCGCCCACTAAGCCTGCTATGGATCACTGTTTCAGCTAGTCTTAGAAGCATTCATGTATGCACGCCGTGACACAGGTTGTTAGCGACTTAGCAACTACTGGGAAACATTTTGTCATTGGGAAGTAGGTAATTCCGGAGACGTTGTTGAAGGAGGAAAATTTCTGCAATCTCTATGCTTACTATGCGTATTCAATGCTCGTAGGCACCTCATATCAGGGCCGTAGGGTCACTTGAGATTTAAAGCTTATCAATCACTTGGAAGTGAAGGGTAAATATCACGTTGAAACGCAGGATTGACATGCATCTTACGACCTTAACATAACGGCAGGACCATGGGTCTTGTAGCGGTAACTGACTACCGAAGTGGCGCACAGGTGGGGCGATGAACGAACACTCACTAATGTCGTGTCACCGCCACACTAGGAACCCTGCTCTCTGGAACAATGGCTACAGATCCAATGATGATCTTACCTACACAGCGAACTTGATCTTAGTATACAATGCGCCGACTACATAAGCAATACCTATCTACGCTATTCACAGGAGTGTACGGCCAACTGAAAAAACACAGCACGAGAAATTTGTAGCTGTAAAGCTTTTTAAAAATTCTATTTGCCAAGTTCTAGCTTTACCTCCTTCATACGAATTATTGCATTGTTTCCGATTACCTCACACTGCGTTAACAATCACACGCACATCCTAAGGTAAGTCGCACACCTATCGATCCTCCAGATTGCTCGCAGTGGCACGATTACACTATGCATCACGTGTGGCCAGATAGGCTAGCGAGAAAGATAGCCAACTTGCATTCAACCCGTAAGCCTACAAAGGTTCCCTTCCAACAGGGTTGCAGCCAATCCGCTTCCTATCACTACTCAATTAGTTGTCATCACGCTCGTGTAAGCCTTCAAAGCCCCTCTTACAACAGGCTGCAAACGTTCCAACCTCAAAAAGCCACCAATCCGCTTCTTATTACCACTCACAGATTTCCTCTCGCCCCCGGTGCTAGTGATAGCTCCTTACGCCAGATTGGCAGCATGAGCAATCACGTACTATGTCTCCCATTGGCTGATCATCCTCGACAGGACGACGAAACCGCTGGTTAACCAGTACTATCGATCACTTGCTGTAATGTTACCTGTTCTTTGGCCTAGTAAACTCGTCGTGTGATCTGGACCCCATTGGTCCGCTGCGTATCAAGCGATGCACTTTGGGGTCGAGTCTGTGGCCACACCAAAGGGAAGACTAACAAGTGTGACACTGTGCGCGCGTGCAGTCGTATGGACGCTTTCAATCATGTCGATTGGACGGTCTGAATCCAGAGAGAACGCCTCGGCTTTCCTTCAGGCGCGCATTGGTGCGGCACAGAATGTGATGGTACTTTTAAACAAGAGCATATTTTGGAACGATTGTTTTGTTTAAAACTACGTACAGGCTGGTAGTGGGCTTGCAACTTCGCTGTACCATTCACTCCGTTTGTCGGTCGCCTGTCTGTTGATCGCAATCGGTGTATCGGCACACTTCAATGGTGTCGAGGATGATCAGCCAATGGGAGACATAGTACGTGATTGCTCATGCTGCCAATCTGGCGTAAGGAGCTATCACTAGCACCGGGGGCGAGAGGAAATCTGTGAGTGGTAATAAGAAGCGGATTGGTGGCTTTTTGAGGTTGGAACGTTTGCAGCCTGTTGTAAGAGGGGCTTTGAAGGCTTACACGAGCGTGATGACAACTAATTGAGTAGTGATAGGAAGCGGATTGGCTGCAACCCTGTTGGAAGGGAACCTTTGTAGGCTTACGGGTTGAATGCAAGTTGGCTATCTTTCTCGCTAGCCTATCTGGCCACACGTGATGCATAGTGTAATCGTGCCACTGCGAGCAATCTGGAGGATCGATAGGTGTGCGACTTACCTTAGGATGTGCGTGTGATTGTTAACGCAGTGTGAGGTAATCGGAAACAATGCAATAATTCGTATGAAGGAGGTAAAGCTAGAACTTGGCAAATAGAATTTTTAAAAAGCTTTACAGCTACAAATTTCTCTTGCTGTGTTTTTTCAGTTGGCCGTACACTCCTGTGAATAGCGTAGATAGGTATTGCTTATGTAGTCGGCGCATTGTATACTAAGATCAAGTTCGCTGTGTAGGTAAGATCATCATTGGATCTGTAGCCATTGTTCCAGAGAGCAGGGTTCCTAGTGTGGCGGTGACACGACATTAGTGAGTGTTCGTTCATCGCCCCACCTGTGCGCCACTTCGGTAGTCAGTTACCGCTACAAGACCCATGGTCCTGCCGTTATGTTAAGGTCGTAAGATGCATGTCAATCCTGCGTTTCAACGTGATATTTACCCTTCACTTCCAAGTGATTGATAAGCTTTAAATCTCAAGTGACCCTACGGCCCTGATATGAGGTGCCTACGAGCATTGAATACGCATAGTAAGCATAGAGATTGCAGAAATTTTCCTCCTTCAACAACGTCTCCGGAATTACCTACTTCCCAATGACAAAATGTTTCCCAGTAGTTGCTAAGTCGCTAACAACCTGTGTCACGGCGTGCATACATGAATGCTTCTAAGACTAGCTGAAACAGTGACCCATAGCAGGCTTAGTGGGCGCGGTTGCCTTTGTAAATGATTGCAAACACATTGTAGGAACGCCCGTGGGTGAGACAACAGTGTTTATCTGTTCCAAGTACTCACCTGAAGTACCAGAGTAACATGCCTGCGTCGCCACTAATCATAAGTCTTGCGTTCTTTCTAGCAGGACGATGTGGCATGTATAAACACCGTAGTCATTGTGGCCCCTTTAAGTGTTACTTTGTTGAGTAATGCCGATTCTTTGAGGAGAGCATGCCAGTCCATTGACGTAATAGGGAGGTTCCATCTGCATTGACTGTGCTTATAATGGTTCCATTTGGAGAGCCACTTGCTAAAGCGTCTCAACACGTATGGGCGATCATATGGAAGTGAAGTGTAATTATCCTAAGAATACATAGGTTCCTATGACCTTTACATAACGCGATACATGTAGGCACTGAAGTGGTAACTGACTAACAAATGCCCCCATGGGTTGGGAGACAAACGAACACTCATTAACGTCGTGTCAACGCCACACTTGGAATCCTCTCACATTTTGTTGAGCCATCAACTGAGATAGAAGTAAGCGAACATAGAATTTTCGTTGTTCAGCTTCAGGTTGGTCTATTAACTTCAATGGGAACAATGTCCCCATGATCGTCGCAATAACCATCGCGCGAAATTATATAACTACCTAGCAGCCATTGCTGACGTGCGGAATACCAGTGAGATTATTCTCTGTCTACGTCACCATGGGCGACCATATGGAAGTGAAACCTAATGATCCTATAAATTCATAGCTTCCTATGACCTTTACGTAACGCCAAATATAGAGACACTGAAGCGACAACTGATTAACATTTCGCCCATGGGTATGGCGACAAACGAACACTCACTGACGTCGTGGCAACGCCACAATTGCAATCCTATCATTTTTTGTTGAGTCATCAACTGTGATCGAATTAAGCAACCTTAGAATTGTCGTTGTTCAGCTTCAGGTTGGTCTACTAACTTCTGTGGGAACTGTGTCCCCCATGATCGTTGCAATGACATTCGCACACAATTGTCTAACCGCCTACCAGCCATTGCTGTACTGTGGAATACGAGTTAGATGGTTGCCTGTCTACGCCACCATGGTTAGGCCGCTGAATAAGCCACCATTAGGTAGCCGCCAGTGATCGCCATAGACCGCTACATGTGCTGGTTAGTATGTCTATCCACACTGGTTAAGTCTTAAGCTTTGGATAGTGTGGTAGCTAGCATCTCCTCCTTTGACAAGCATCACAATTTACCTATTGGTCGATTTCAGGTTGGAGACCAATCATCGAGGTTTACTCCAGCGGGGCATCAGGGCAGAACGGAAGGTGGTGCTCGACCACTTTCATTGGACTGTCTGTCGCGTATGCTGGCAGCTTCTAACCGAAGTCCCATTGGTTTACGTCCCATAACCAATGAGAGTGTCAAGGACGCCAAATCAGCGTTCTCCGCCTCGCTAACTTGAAAGTACCGCACGCTATTTCGAAAATGAACCACGCTAAAAGCTTGGTACAATACGCTAATATGCGTGTAAAAAGTATAGACACTTTGACGCCATGATGGTTGATAGACCAGCAGAAAATTCCGAGTATTTTGCGACGTCAAAGCACTCTGCATCCCAAGAAAACGGACAAAATGAACCTTGTCAGAAGGAAAACACTGCGTTCGCGAGCGGTGACCTTGTGAGTCAAGCAGTTGAGTCTTTAGCACACTAAAACACAGTTTTACATGTACACCAGACTAGAATGACAGAGTCTAGAGGTCACTTGCTTCACTACTGTCCAACCAATCAGCAAACGTCGTCATCTCAAAAGTACCCTGCTAGGTCTGCTACTACTGGGCAGCCTTATCTTTATGTCACTCTGATGTCGGACTGCGCTTGTGCTTCGGATATTTTGGCGAGCAGTGAGTGGATTGATAGCGAAAATCACTTCCAGAATGGTGACTCTGCTGCCGACTTAATTCTGCAACATCCAGAAAGATCAGAGGATTCTTTGATTCATTCTTATGATTTTGTGAAAACTCATCACACCAGGAAAAGCTCACGGCCTAAAAAGATACCCATGCATTTTGAAGCTGCTGTTGGCAACGTACTACCTGATTTCACTGAAGCTGGCAAAGATAAATCAACTATAGAGTCATTGATGATCTCTGATGCCCAACCTGAAGCTGAAGGCCAGCGGCGCAAAAGTTTGCGTCCTCGTCGAAAAGTACAAAGATCGGAAGCATTCCAGGATGAGGCAGCATTGGATCAATTATTAAGCGACGAAACAAACCTCACCGCTTATGGTCCTGCGCAGCACTGGGAAACTGGGGCTGGGGACTACTTGACAGATGACTGGGTAAACCTTACGTTTTCACGAAATTCTTTTTTGTTGTTTGCTTTTTGACTCTCTTCGTAGTCCATATGCGTCTGTATACCTTGTTTTTCCATTTCATCGCATCATTTGCATCAATCTTATTGGAACGATTGTTCGGCAGCCATTCGATAATAGTCCGATTGGACCTCACACGGGACATATTTCGACTACTTTCTGTCTTTCGGAACGGATCCTTTACACACAAATTTTGCTCACTCATTTTTACCTTGCTTTCTAGCTACCGTTTAACGCAGCATGGACGCCTACTAGCTTCTTCCGAACATCAGTTCACGCAGTTGCTTAGATAGAAAGTCCTGTCTCGACAATTTGGTTGTCAGCTATTATGGTGTCGGACTGTGCCTGCTTTTTCGACTTAAACCCGATTATTAGGTCGGATAAACGCCGGACTACACACCAGAATAATTGAAAGTCATCGTGAAAAGTCGTATGTTGATCGGCTGAATTGCTTAGGTTTGTTCTCACTGGAACGACGCAAACTAAGGAGAGATCTGAAACATTTAAGATTATGGAGGGTCTCAGTGGCCTTAAGCCGACCGATCTCTTTGAACTAGCTACCTTGGACCACCTGCGGGACACCATCTGATGCTCATAAAGCAGTGGTCCAGACTGGATATACGGGTGAAATTTTTCACTAACCGCCTAGGAACTAACTGGGTTCTACTCCTCATGCACTAGTAGTATCTAATACGATAGAAGCCTTTAAAAGAGGCATGGATATGAATGGGTCCACTATTTTTCCGGAATCGCCTTGAGATTAATGGGCACTGCTTAGTACCAAATTGCCTGTGGTCGGTAGGATGTCATGGATAGTTTCACGGTTATGAGAGGTTGCTCCCACTCTATTTGTCTCTGAAAGTAAAGAACTTTTTTCCGTCGAAATACCGGCACAACAAACGGGATGCTCGTTGGGCAAAAGCCTCTTTCGTTCGTGGAGACTGACGTGACCTGATGTGATCGCCTTTAGCCGCCTTACACAGCTAACGGTAGGGTTGGTTTAGGTCTTTTGAAGTTGACCTCGAAATACACTTTCCGATAATTCCAAGAACCTTACACCACTCGGAACTATAGTCATTTGTGCACCAGAGGTCACAATCGTTTTAGCACAAATGTTTGCTAGGTTTACATTAGGACATCTGTTTTTTCAACTCTGTATCTGTCATCGAGTTTTGTCCACCACTTGCGCAGTCGTGTAGTCATCGTAGCGGTCTCGCATGCTGGCCCTTTAAACGTTACCCAGTTAATGCCACTATATTGCATGCTGCTGATGCAACGCGTCACAGAATCCCATTGGCGTGACACTTCTGATCTGCGCATGGAACAGCTCGTTGAAGCCTTCAAGAGTTGATAGGATGTAGCAGGAAGCACTATCTCCGAGTCGCGATGGAATTGGAGTCATTTACCGCTAGAGCAGCGCACTGGACCCAACAGGTAAGCCAGTGGACTACAAATTGGAAAGATTTACAGGAATGGTAAAAGCGACTGGTTTACATCCTTGCTGCCAGAACTTGTCGAGCGTGCCGCGTTGATAAATAACACTAAAACATAAATGCATAGCAGTATTACTGATGTGTTTAAAAAGAAACCGGACTCTTGCAATAACGTGTGAGCCGACAAATGGAGCGCGCTGTAGGTGCGTAAATTACTGTTTGCTCTTTCATTGCCTGCTAGTTGGCGTGCCCTCAGTAGCCCCAGCGCGCTCCCTTTATCGGTTGGCGCACCGTTTCTAGACTTCGGTTACTTTTTGAAAACAATCTTGTTGCTATAGTATATTACTAAAACGAATAACTGACTATCCGTTCCATATGCGAATACCTGAACGTCCGACGGTGCTGATAAGGCGGTCGTTGTTAGGCGATCCTCTCGTTGCTACTGGTATCGGGTGTATGGCTGTACTGGAATTCCGCCAACCTATGACGTGTCTCGCCCCGCCTGTATCATGCATATTTCCTATAAGAAACTCACTCGCGTCATGTATCGTCGACTAGCTTACTCGCGTGAATCAAAACTGCTAAGCGTCAGGTCAGCCTCCACCGCAAACATTGCGATCCTACCGTGCATCGGAGATGGAAATGGCTGCTTCCCCTAGTAACCGTCGTAAGTTATTCTGCCTGGTAGGCAAAATGGGCAGAAGCAGACCTGCTGTTAGCGAGATTGTATGCTATGAGAGTGAACAGCCGTTTTACAGCGTGTCAAACTCTTGGAGCGTTGGGTCGAACACTTTGAAAAACAGCTAAATCAGCCAGTTACCAACTTCACCATAGGCCAATGATCCCTGTTCTCTCCGGGCCGCCCTCCTGGAACCGACTTCACGCGCAGAAGTCGATAGTGATGTTAGACCGCTGAAAACGAATAAGGCCGCATGAGTAGGTGGACTTGCTCCAGCCCTTTGCACATTCGTAGGATCTTCCTTTGTAGATGATCTTCACGACATACTTGTGAAGCTATGGAGGAAGAGGATTGTCCCAATAGGCTGAAGCCGCTCCGTTATAGTCCTAATTTTCAAACGGGGCTCACGTTCCGAATGCGGCTATTATAGAGGGATCAGTCTGATCACGATTGCTTCTGATACTCGCCTCTACCGTTCTTCATAGACTTGCTGACACCCGTTAAAGCCAGGTTAGTGAGGAGCAAGCCGGGTTTGTCCAAGTCATGGCTGTATTTTTCACATCTCCACAGTACGTCAATTATTGGAGAACCGACATGTTTATTGGCGACCCACCGTAGTTGTGTTCCTCGGCATCAAAGTTGCCTGTGGTTCGATGGAGTGTTCGCACATCAAATTTGTACCGGATAAATATGTAAACATTTTCAATGCGCTTTACGCATATAGTGAGGGCTAACGGAAAACTGTCACCGCCTCTCCATGTCTACAGCGGTGTAACAATGTTCGCCGTCACCTTTGCTCTTTAACTTGGCAATCGACGTAGTCATGTGGCTTGCGTTCACTGAACTCGATCTACCAGGTATGGAGATGCTGCCGGATGATAGACTTATTAAATTAGACTATGCTGACGATATAGCGCTAATCTGTAACAGCTCCCAAATGTGCTATGCAACACTGAACAAATTACCGTTGGCTGTCAGTCATTTCGGACCATGCTTTGTACATTCGAAATGCAAAGTCCTCCAAGATTAGCAGGGACCCTCCCCTATGCTAACCCTTGGTGATTAGCTCGAATTCGTGGAAAAACTCAAGTATCTGGACAGCTATATCAGCACTAGTGGAATGGACGATGCGATCACAAACCTCATAGCAAAAGCTCAAGACACTTTTCCACTCCCTATCATCTGTTTCTCCAGCTCAACATCACTCGCCCCGAAGGACAGTCTACAACTCAGCTGCGCGTTTAACGCTACTGTATGGCTAATAAACATAACCAATCAACTCAACAGACCTAAAGAGGCTAGTTACGTTCGATGATCGTTTCCTTCGCAGCTTAGCCAGTGTGAGCAATGTACGTGTTTGGCGTCATGTATTCGCTGCAGCAAGAGCGAGCGAACTGCTCAGCACCGGCATATCACGCACCAGACTCCGATAGCTGGGCCACACATTGCGCATTCAAGCACATCGACTACCGCGACGTGCATTGTTTGCCCGCCGGTGTGGATGGAAAAATAATAGACCAACCGATGACACTGGTTGACATGGCAAATAGCCTATCTCAATGGCGTTTGTGTTGTGAGTTTCGTTGTCTCTTCCTCACCCGCTTATTTTCCTTCAGCCACCATCTTACTCTGGATGCACAATGTTATGCTTAGCATTAAATTACTTGCTTATGTTTTATTATTTTTCTGTTATGTCTAGTGTCTTATTTTTCTCATATCTTTATGTAATACTCTACGATAGCTATACGCGTAATGATGCTAATGACCCCGTCCGAAGTACATGGGTGGGAAGATGGCTTTATTTCCGGCATCACAAGCTTTTGCCGGTGTCCGCTTGCTCTGCACGGCGTTCGCCAGTGAATCAGTTGTCTCATCGTGGGAAAGCTAACGACATGTGCTATGCTATAAAATGGCATCAGCAATTCGCCGTACCGATGCTTCGCTGCCACGCAACTATCACCAGTCGCGCGTGGGCTAAGGATACTGCGAAGACTGCCCAGTCCCCTACGTAGGCTCGAACCCGCGACCTCAGGGTTGCAAGGCAGACGCCATATCCTTTCGGCCACGGGCCGGCGTAATACGCTTTGTAACTCAGGATAATTTCGATTCGCAACCGACCTTAGGAATAACTACCGTCCTAGACTTTCGCGCCCGCCTTCGCACGACAATCCCCATAAACTTGGAATGCGTCTGGTAGCGACGTGTTGGACACGTTCGATCTTCTGTGCTTCGCCTCGGGTGATTGGACAGTAAGCCAGTGAGCCGTACTTTAGTATTGGTCTTATGACGCAAGAGAAAAGACGGGTAGCAACCACTTCGGACCAAGTACAGAAACTGCATTTGTGTGCCCAATCACGCGCCGTCCCCTACGAAATAACCTGTTCGCAGCGCCGTACACCTATTTCCTTCACGGAAGGCGCGGGATGTAGGGGTGGGCCGTCAGTGGTGTAAGTTCGGTCGTCACCATCCTTCCCCAGGCTGGACCGTGGCCTTATGGATCACAGAAAGGAAAGCATCGACGGTACACCGGTACGCAATACTGACGCTTCGCTACCTCGAAACCACCACCGGTTGCACATGGGCTAAGGATACTGCCAGGGCCGCCCTGTCCTTACGCAAGCTCGAGCCCGCGTCGTCAGATCACAAGACAAGCTTGTTCCCTTTGGGCTACAGGCCGGCACGGGTTCGAGCCTGCGTAGGGCACCGGGCCACCCTCGAAGTATGCTCAGCTCACGCGCGACTGGTGGTGGTTGCGCGGCTGCCAAGCGTCGCTGCTGCGTACCGGCGTACTGCTGATGCCTTTCATGAATAAAAAAGGAAATCGCCAGCTGTACGCCGTAACTGCGCTTCGCTGCCACGCGACCACCACCAGTCGCGCGTGGGCTGAGTATAACGCGAGGACGCCCATACCTACGCGGATTCGAACCTATGACCTCATGGTTGCAAACCAGGCGCGCAGCCCACTCGGCCACTGGTTTTTCATGAATACCGACTTACTTCGGTAGACCAGGAGTCGGACTTCCGCAGACCACATGGAGAGTCGGTTGACGTCTTACTGAAGTAGACCGCAGTCGTTTCGGGTGCTAATCACACAAAATCTTCAGGTCGTCCGCGAACAGGTCACACGGTTACCGAAGAAGCTGTGATGGATCCTTGATGTGGATTAGGAACATAGTGGACCCTAGCACCATGTTTTGTATATGCCACTTGTAAAGAGATACCAGTCAGATGGTCCTCAACCTGTACCCTCTACTTTCCTTCAAAAAAGTTTTAAACGCACTGGTGCAGTGATCCATCAAAACCGCATGCTCTCAGCATAAGGAACAGAACCTCATGGTTTATCTTTTCGAACGCTTTACTGAAACCGATGTAGATTCTGTCGACAAACTTCCCATGGCTCACGGCCTGAAACCACTCATGCCTCGTCAGCAGCAGGTTGGTAACACATGAGCGGCAGAATAAAACCAGGCTGTGTGCACGTCAGTATCTCTTTTGATTACATCAATTGTACTAGATCTCGGCAACCTTAGCCAAAATAAGTGTCAGACAAATCGGTCTGTAGGTGTCCATTTTGTTTGAGTCACCGACTCTCGGAATCGGCTTTACCACTGAGCATTTCCAGTCACTGGGCAATGTACCTTCGAATAGTGATCTGTTGAACAGGTCAGTCATGACAGGTTAGGTGATGCCCGATAGGGAATTGAGAATCAGTGAGTGAAGTCCGTCAGAGCCAGCAGGTTTGGAGCCGTCAATATTGATGGGTACTTGACGCACATCTTTAATGCCGCAAACTAAACTGTCAAGTGCGGTGAGCGCGGTACACGTCGAATTCGGTACAGACACCTGGTCATTTGCAAACGCTACAGCGAAGTGCGCCGCCAACGCCCACGCACGCTCAGTTCTGGAGGTTAGAGCTTGTCCCTCCGAGCCCACTAGCACTGGCAGGTCGCCTGTCGGCTTCAGGCGCCGCTTCACATAATCAAAGCTTCTCTTCGGACCAGCCTTTGCGACTATTGTGAGCTGCTGTTCGAAATGCCGACGCTCGCCCGATTTTGCACTATTGCAAATTGCTGCAGGGCTGGCACAACGCTGCCCAACTCACCGGAGTTCACCGGCGCCAATACACTATCTGGCCCGAACAACACAGTCACCATGCAGAGACCCAAACCACTCAGTTCAGAGCGGAGTTCTCCCTGAGGAAACTGCCGCCAGAGGTGCACTCATATCCGCAGAGCACAACGGAGTTGTTTTCAGTGTGAACGCGGCCAACATGTCATCATCATCATCATTCCACGTTAGCTGGAGGTGGAAAATACCTCAGCTATTGTGCCGTAATACAAAACCAACAGTGGCACGCCGGCTGAGTCTCCAGTAACGGATGGGCATCGTTCCGGAGAGCTAACAGCTGGCTGCCGTAAAAGGGAGTCATATTATGCCTAACGTGTGAGATCGTGATTGGAGGGGATGCTAAGCAGGAGGTGGGTGGACAAAGAAACTCACAACACAAACACCATTGGGGCCGCCTCCAAGCCATATCAGCAAGTGTGTCCAACCAAACGTGTTCACCGTCCTTAGGACCCCAGCCAGGCAGTCGGGATGCACCAACCGACGCCAACTTCGAAGTGAGGGTTTTCATTTCTCTCGACCAAGTCATCACTTAGCCTCCTCCTCTTCCAACTGCACCCACGACGCGTAAACAATGCACGTCGCGGAAGTCGGTGTGCTGTCATGCGCAACACGTGGCCCAGCCATCGGGGCCTGGTGCGTGATATAATGGTGTTGAGCGGTTCACTCGCTCTTCCTGCACCAAATACGCGACGTCGAACACGCTCATTGCTCACGCGGTGCTCCCACCAGACATGAGCTAAGCTGCGAAGGCAGCGATGATCGAATGTGACGAGCCTCTTTATGTCTGTCGACCTGATGGGCCAGGTTTCACAGCCATATAGGAGAGTTGAACGGACGGCTGCGTTGTAAACTCTGCCCTTCAGGGCGAGAGTAATGTCGCGTCTGCGCCACAGGTAGCGGAGATTGGCAAAAGCACCTCGAGTTTTTGCTATACGGTTCGTAGCCTCATTTTCAATCCCACGGGTCTAATATAGCTGCCCAGGTACTTGAATTCCTGAATGACTTCTAGCAGATCACCACCAAGCGTTAGCGCAGGGTTCGGTCCCTACCCATCTTGGAGAAGTACTTTGCATTTCGATGGAGCAAAGCATAGCCCAAAACGATTGACAGCTAGTGCTAATCGGTCCAGTGCTGTTTGGCATGTTTGGGAGCTGTCACAGATTAAGGCAATATCGTCCGCATACTCCAAGTCAAGAAGTCGCTCACCAGGAAGTAGCTCCACTTCTAGGTCGTGTCCATCGAACGCTGTTTCCATGACTTCATCAATAGCGAAGTTTAAGCGGAAAGCTGACAGTGGGCATCCTTGTCTCCCACCGCTATTGATACTGAAGGGTGGCGACAGTTTGCCACAAACCCTCACCCTGCCCGAACTATGCGCATACAGCGCTTTGATAATGTTTACATATTTATCAGGCACACCATTCCTCAACAGACAGTTCCAAAGGGCACATCGATCGACTGAGTCGAAGACACCTTTTATGTCAAGAAACACGACAACGGTGGGTTGCCAATAAATACGGCGGTACTCCAACACTTGACGCAAGGTGAAGATGTGGTCGATGCAGCTCCGACCTCGACGAAATCCTGCTTGATCTTCACGAATCTGGCTTTCACGCGTGCCAGTCAGTCTGCGGAGAATGACAGAGGCAAGCAATTTAGAGACAATCGAAATCAGACTGATCCCTCTATGATTGCCGCATTCCAAACGGAGCCTCCTTTGAAAATTGGGACAATGATGGAGCGGTTCCAGTCTGTCAGGACTGTCTCCTGCTCCCAAACTTTTACTAGCAACTCGTGTAAATCATCTACTAGAGCAGGTCCCCCGAATTCGAAGAGGGCTGGGGCCTTATGCAATTTCAACAGCCTGATCTCACGTTCGACTTCTGCGCGTGTGGGTGGATCTAAGGCGATGGCCCAGGGATCGTCATCATCAACAGCAGTACATCAGCCATTTGAACTGATGCTTCGCTGCCATACAACCATGAGGACCTATGAAATAAAGAATAAGAAGAGGGAGAGAAGAGGGACTTACCTGAAAACCTTAATGCCCTAAGCAAACATTCAGGGTCAAGGCGCCTACACCTTGTGTAGACAACATGCCGTCACAAACAGCTGGCTATCGTGCAAAGACTAGGCGGCATCGGCGAGACAGTTTCCTCGCGGCTTTCACTGCCACTCGTCATAATCAGCCATTACCCCGCAGATAACTCAGCACCACACTATAAACAGGCAGTCCAATTAGGAGACGGCAGCAGACGCGCCACTGGTGTCTACTGCGATCCATGTCCTGTAAAGTCTGGAGCCAAGCACAAGGCGAGTCACGTGGACTCCAGCCCGGAAGGCGAGACGGACCAGCTGCCAAGTCAACTTCTGTCCACCTCGAGCCTTGCGCCATCCGACACCTGGCAGACTAAACAAGGCCCACTTAGGTTAGCGGTAACCAAG